GCCCCAGTCCTCGAGGGAAAGTCAGACTCCCTTTGGGTGGCCAGGAGCCCAGGATCCTCCTGGTCACTTGTGCTTCTCCTCCTGCCAGTTCCTCCTTCCAGAGATGGTCTGCTGAGCCAACTTATAAGGACGCTGCCTATAACTATGTGGTCTGGAAGTAAGAGTAGGGTGGTAAAGGATAATTAAAAATAATAATACGGTATAGTGGAAAAGGGGCCTTAAAGATATTTTGATTTAGTATACTTAGTGTTAAAACTGAAAAAAGAAAGAAGGTCTTTTATAAAGCTATGTATGAACCAGTAGATTTCCCAAATAGCTCAGATGTTGTTTGAGCAACAGACATTTTCCATATAAGAATCTTCTTTGACTTCAAGGAGCAAATTAGTACCCACAAATACTTTTAGCACTGAAGGTTTTTATCCACAGAGAAGAAAAAGGTTACTCCCTCTGGGGATGAGAGGGGAGGGATAACTTAATAGCAGCATCATTTATATTTAGAATGTGCATTTCCCCACAGGCACACCAGAGGACAGAGGTCACCCAAGGATGTGCTCGATATAGAAGTCACTCTACTGCCAAGGTCTGGTGCTTGCTCCCAGTCTCTGGGGATGAGAAGCGATGAGTCATTTCATGTCGCTTTGGAACTGACACATTGTGAAATGGGCTATTCCAGATCTCGTTTGTCGTTTGATTACAGTTTACATATACAGTAATAGTATTTGTAGCTAACATTTATTAACCTCATATAAGCACTGCCCTAGATTCTTAACTCGATCGCTTGCTTCATGCCTGCAATAACCTTGTGGTGCCGGTACTATTACTTTCTTCATTTCATACATGAGATGGAGCACAGAGGTACCCAGATCTTGCTGATGGTGCTCCGGTCATCAGCTGTTGCCTAATGAATTATTTCAAAGCTTAAGGGCTTCATACAACAACAATTGTTGTTACCTCTCCTGGCTCTAGACATTGGGCTCAGCTGGGCAGGTCTCACTTAGTGACTCTCAGGTGAGGTCTCCCATAAGTTTCCGTCAGAATATGGCTATGGCTGAAGTCATCTGGAATGTTTCCTCACTCACATACCTGTTGATGGGGGCCTCAGGTAGCACTGTCACCCAGAACCCCACATTTGACCTCTCCACTCGGCCTGGACTTCTAACAGACACCCAGGCCTAGATGGGCCAGAATAACACACTCTCTGTCCAGGTCAGAGAGGAGACTCCTTCACATTCGTGGTAAGGTGTATAGATCTCAATCTCTGAACAACTGGAAGCCATCGGCAAGCTTTAAGCAACAGAGGGTGTGTTTATGATGAGGAGGAAAGAGCCTGACAGGGGGTGCTCGCACCAAGGTCATGGTTCTTCAGGATTTCCACTGTGTCCAGAGTCATCAAGAGGAATCACGCTCAGTGCACAGGTCCTCTAAGTGTGTGAGGAGCCAGAGGTTCACTGGCTTCCCCAGAAATCCTTGCCGATCCAGTGGACTCCTGGGTCTGCAGCCAAGTGCTATAAAAAACCCTGCAGGAGGTGGATTTCTCACATCCTCTCCGCTTTCTAATTAATCATTTAGATGAGAAACTGAACCTACTCAGATAAAAAATATATACATATGTGAACTCCAGGTCAGGATCACAATTCTGTTCCAAACATATGACTTTTTCCCCTCCCGGTTGGGGGATTGGGGTGTATTTAAAAAAACAAATTATTTTCATTCAGTCACTGTTTCCTAGCAACAATGAAAAAGTATGTTTTTCTGATGCCTGTGAGCACCAGCCAGAGCAGAAGCTCAAGCATGCCTCCAGAAGCAGGGGAGAACAAAAGCCCTGGAACCAGTCTCTGGTTGGTGAGGGATTCTGAAAGGGAAATCTGTTAAATGCTGCTCACCGGACAGAACGCAGTCTGAGAGATCTGTATCGTTGATGTGGGGGTGCAGGGGTGGGGCCTGAGGTAGGGTGCAGATACTCCCAGGGCATGATATTCCTATAGAATGTGGGGGCTCTGTCTTCTGGGAGTTGGTTTTAATGAAACAGCTAATGCCTGGGACGCCTGACATCTTTCCAATAGCTCTTCTGTGTGTGTTTCCAGCCAGTCTTGTTTTTGCTAAAGCTCTATAGACAGAAAAGAAGGGTGAATTCATGTTTACACTGAATAGAGTCTCTATAAATGGCCCTCTTTCAGCCATGTGTAGCTACTCAATGCATGTCAGTTACTGAACTCTCACAGCTGGAAGAGACCTCTAACCATTCAATGCTCCTTTCACAGAGGAGAAAACACAAAAGCACAGGGAGGAGAGTTCACTTACCCACGGTGACACAGCTGGCTGGGAGCCCCAGGCTCCCCAAACCTCTAGCCTAGTGCTGTGGGGATGGGAGATGCCCATATTTTAAAGATTATAAACGTTGCATATTATACCACATCGAATGGTAGGGCAGAGGGAAGGGAGTTCTAAACAGAAGCTGTCACACCAACCAAGAGAGGCAAATCTTATAATTTTAAGTCAGAAATTCAAAGGGCTGGCTCAGAGTAAAAAAACAAAGTGGGTTAAAACAAATACTAAGTCTTTTGCTTTTTAAAAAGGCACAGAAGTTAAGCGACCACCCCCCTACACTCCACCACACACACCACCACCACCAGTCAAGGAACTGAGGTAGAACAAATGTTCTATCAACAAATGTTTTTTTCAACTTATCAAATTAGAAGAATGATAATAATATGCTATCCTTCATGGAGTTGTACAATGTTAGGGCAAAAGCCGTTCTTGGTAATATTAACGAGGCTCATCATTTTTTTAGACAACACCTCAGACTGAGGTGTGTAAGAGCCACAAGGCTTGACCACAGCCACACCAGTCCCTGGTGCAGTAGACACTACATCCCAGTGTCTGGCTGTCCCAGGGCCAGTGCTTTTCCCTCTCTAGGCCGGGAGGCCACCTCTCTGGCTTGCAGTACCCACTGTGAATTTATTCCCCTATAGAGAGCATGTTACTGTTTTAATGGTTAATCCATTCCAGTGGAATGCTCCTACTTTCTTTTCCCCTTTTCACATCCCATCCAAGGCAGATAGATGTAGCAGCAGCAAGAATGGTCTAAAATAATTAAATTGGTCTGGTGAAGAATCCATTTAAATCAGTGACATTCTGCTTCCTTTCTGCTTACTGCTGGAGAGTTGAATTCAAATGAAGCTCCTTTTAAAAAAATGTTTTTAAAGTTTTTTCCAATCATTTTTAAATTAGTGACCTAAAACATATGCATAATTTCCAAAGTACAAAAATGTAATTTAATGAACATCCATAAACCTATAACCTCAAAGTCAACAAATGTTAACATTTTTCTTATATTTGTGCATTAGTCAGGGTTCTCCAGAGAAACAGAACCAAGAGATGTGTATATATACACAGAGATGTCGTTTAAGAAATTGGCTCACATTGTTACTGTAGGTAGTTAACTAATTATTAATAAGAAGGGGAGCAAAGGAAGATGACATTGAGCTTAATAAACTGGGGAGCATGAGCCTGTTTGCCTCACCAGGAAGCTGTAGCCTCACACTCTGGGCGGTCACAACATTGCTCCACCAAGGGGATTAACACTCCTCCTTTCCCTGCTCCAGGTTCAAATTGGTGGGGGGTGGGGGGGAGATGAGCAGAGGAAAGTACTTGACCAAAGAGGCCTGTCAGTCTAACTAGGGGGTGAGCCTATCAGAAGCCCGAGATCTCTCTCTCTTTCTCTCTCCCCCCCGCCCTGCCCCCCGTGACATGCACAAGCCCTGTGCATTCGTGCATCCTCTCTCACCCAGGAGGAACAAGTGATCATGCAGGTCTAGCAGCTACTGCGGCCCACAGCAGACTACGTAGGCTCTGAAGGACTAAGCTTTAATATGAAACAGAAACTGTGGACACTGGCTTTTGTTTTGGCCTTGCTGAAGACGCAGTTGCACTTTTTCCATGACGGAACAGAGGGATGTGGAAAACGGCAAACCTGGGGGCAGATTTCCACCCAAATGAATTTTGCCACACCACAGTCTTTCGTGTGTGGGCCCTCGGAAGGCTTTCCTGTGGAATAGCCTGACTTCCACTGACAACAACATGATCGTGGTGGCATGGGCAGTTCAAACCCTGATGGGTAAGCTGGCAGGCTGCAGGCTCAGGGAAGAGGTGCAATTTACGTCCAAAGGCAGTCCCCTGGCAAAATCCTTCTTGCTTGGAAAAGGTCAGCCTTTGTGTTTTTTTTTAAGGCCTTCAACTGACTGAGTGCAGCACACCTACGTAATGGAGAGTAATCTGCTTTACTCAAGTCCACTGATTTAAATGTTACTATCCATCAAACGCCTTCACAGAAACATCCAAAATAATATTTTACCAAATATCTGAGCACAGTGGCCCGGAAAAGTTGACATATTAAATCAATCATCACACACAATCTGCTTTCAATCTTTTTTGAGGAATAAAACATTGCAGACACAGTTGATATGCCATTTATACTGCTCCCTGGGCACCCCATTCAATAGTAATAATTTTGTTTTGCAAACATCTTTTTGCGACTTCAGAACACTTTTGATCCCATCACCTGAACTCCAACTTCTGGTTTGATGTTGGGGTAGAAAATTAAGCCATAGACTCACATTTGCCATAACCACATGTTCTTTCAAGGACCTCCTGGCCACCAGAGGTTGAACATGCTTTCTATAGAAAACTCTATTATGAGCCATTGCAGGAGAGTGAGTGCCGTGGGAGTCACTAGATTGAATGTGCACAGAGTTCGAACATATTCTAATCATAAACCATCCAAACTAGCACAAGCCATGCCAGTTTTACTTGCTAGTTTATTACAAGGATAAGTAAATGATGAGCCCTGGAAAAACTTGGAAGCAGTAAGAAGCGTTAGATATACTCACGGTACAATGCACTGGCCCCCAGACAGCGTTCTGACCTGGAGCCTGCTGGGTAAGAGGCCTGAACTCTGCACGTTCTCAGCTCCCTTCCAGAGCCTGGGACTCCATGACTGGTATTTGGAGTGATAGCTTCCCTAACTCAAGTTCTCTCTGATTTGCTGCTGTAGCTTTTAGGCTCACAGAAGCTGCATCTTCCCCAATGGGTATCAGGTGCAGTGTAAGCTGCAGATACCTGCTCAGCTGCAAATGCCTTTAATCATGGAAAGAAAGCTCCTAAAGAAGGATATGAAAAAGCTCTTGTAAGTATGATTGAGAATAACTTTCATTTATTATACTGGGCATTTGGTGGGTTTCATGTCATAGATGGTCCAATATTGCCAAGAGGATAAAAAATCTAAGGGAGATTTTATTCCTGCACTATTGAGGAAAAAAAAGCTGATGATCTGGCTTCTGACTCGGCCTGAGAGGCCTCACATGTGGGGCAAAGCCAGATGCTGGCTCTCTTGGGAGGATGTTTCTGCCAGCAGCAAGCTCATCTGAGGCATTGCTGTTCCAGAGCCAAAGATCTGGGACCACAGCCCAGTCAGCCTGTGCTGGGCAGCATGTACCTTGGGAAGAGCTCTGCTCGAATAGGATGTAGGGGAGATCTCTGAGATAGGTACCCAGTGGCCCAGCATTTAAATCGCAGCCTCTGCCTCTTTTGCTGTCAGTCTGATCGACTCAATAATTCATCTGCTTCTTCTTGCCATCTGAACTTTTATTTTTAAGCAAACAAAGAAAATGTTAAGTTTTCCCATGAACAAATTTTTTCCTCCTATGCTAGCTTTTCTTTGATTTGGTACTTAATTGAGAGGTTGGCGAAAATAACAGACCATATAAAAAGGAGGAGAAAAAGGCTATGTCTTATTCCACATGTATTTATAGGGACAACAATAATACCCTCTTCATCAAAACCTTATCACAACCCCATTAAAGGTCCTCTCTCAGCCTACTAAGATAATCATTTTTAACAAGTCCTTAAAAAACGCTGGAATAAACCATGCACAAATTCACACAGGCTAACATGTTTGTGTTTGGAGGCCAACGTAATAAACAACAAACCATAATCAGGAATGCCAACTCTTCCACATGGAACCGAAATTTCAGAAGGGGTATAAATGTAATTCATTCAGCCAAAAATACATTCATGGTACTTTAAGTAAAGTACATTGGAATTTTAAAGAAAACATTTCAGAATTTTTGTCAGTCTAAGCTTAATGAATCAGAAGAGTTTTAGAGGGCAGGAACAAGGTAATGTACCAAAGCATGTGATAAAGACATTGACAACCAGAAGCATGGCCTTATGGAAAGAGGAGAGATTTGTGGAGATGGACCTCAGAGACCCTGGGGTCCTGTGTCCTGCCCCCAGCTCCTCTCCCTGTTTCCCAGAATAGTACCCCCTTCTGTTCTCCTTCCAGGGCCCTTATTCTATCCTCGCCTTATTAAAAATCACTGTTCTGAAAGAATCTGATAAGGATACACTAAACTGAAATTATTAATGTATTTTTATGCATAACTCCTCCTAAGGGTATTTGTATTCTAACAAGGAAAAGCTCTTGGGCAAAGAATGCATCTGTGTGGAATATCATATACCTAAAATTTATCAACCATGGAAATTCTGCCTGAGTTTTAACACTGGGAGCAAGGGATTCTTTATTTTAAACAGTGGGTCTCAGTCCTTTAGTTTGTAAAACTGTTTCTGCACACAAGGATTTAGCATACTCCCTTGCTTCCCTGTAAATTGTGTGCCCACATGTGAGTTTAATTCTTAAATAAATGTGATTTAAATTAATTATGATTGGACATTTTAAGAAAGCAGCATCGCAGGATTGCCTTTTTTTAAAAGAATTTATTTATTTTATTGTTTTTTTAGGGGGAGGGTGAGGAAGGGAGAAAGAGAAGGAGAGAAACATGGATGTGCCAGAGACATATCGATGGGTTGCCTCTCGCACGGCCCCAACCAGGAACCCGCCCTTCGGCATGTGCCCTGACCGGGAATAGAACCAGAGACCCTTTGGTTGCAGGACGATGCCCAACCCACTGAGCCACACCAGTCAGGGCTAGAATTGCCTTTGAAATCACAATACTGTTATTCTGGTAATAAAGTAGCCAAATAGTTATTTATTTTAAGAAAAAAAGAAGGAAAGAAGAATGTGAACTCATCTCCCAGAGCCCTCAGTGACCACTCCTGGGTTCGGCAGAGGAGGGTGGGAGGGGCAGGAGCCCTCTGTGGCCGATGGACCCCATGTCATTCCCAATGGTTCAATCCTGCTCTCTTGCTTTTAAGGGGAGATTATATTGGCATCAGACTCCGGGAAAATGAATTTGACCCCAAAGGAAGAAGGCAGCTCACCTTTCTAGATGATATGGTAAAGCAAGGCATGCGGGTGCGAGTCACACTGTGTTACGTGTGTGTGGAGGGGGCGCAGCAGGATCTGATGTGTAGGACAGCCAGGCCAACCCTGATGCTCTGGGCTGTCCTGTCCCATCTCCTCATCTAGCATTCTCCATTTGGTCTTTTCAACTCATTACGCTGAATGCAAAAGGAATGAGAAAATGCAAGTATGAGACATTTGCTACTAGAAAAGACTAAAAAGCAAACTGGGTACAAGGGCAAACATGACATGATGTTCAAATTTTTTCAGGCAAAATTAATTTTTATGTAGTTCTCAAATATAATACTGGGTTTGTTTGCTTCATTTTTTTTTTTACCATCTGTTTTCCTGGATGAAACCAAAGAACTGAGTAATCCTAAAATTCTTTCTGTTATTATTCATGTTGCAACTCAGGTTCATGTTCTGTGATGAAAGTCTACATCACATAAATTCAGGAAGAAACTGGTGTAAAGATCGAATCCAAAAGAAATTAGTAAACCCTCAGCTTTTTTATCCTACCCATTTGCAGTTGTCACACTAGTCTCGAAGAAAGGACCTCTTGCTCCTTCCCCATCTCCCTGTCTGACTTACCCGGTGGTGAATAAGCAGTTAAAAGTGCTTCTCTGTGCATGTGTTAGATGGAGAAATTCAATTGATTAGATAATTGCCTCTCAAACTTTAATGAGGTCTTATTACAAGCCCGTTGTGATTCAGGAGGTCTGGGGGTGGGGCTGGGGACGTTTTGCATTTTTAATGAGTGAAGCCAGTGCTGCCAGTCCATGCCTCAGTCTTTGGGTTAAGTTTCAACAACTGATCATAGTGCATTTTTTTCTTTTCTTTTCCTTCTTCTTCTTTTTTTTATTCACTTTTCAGTTTTGTTCAGCACCTGGAAGATATAGAAATAATTACATTGTTTAGAAAATATTGGTGTGAGATAGAACCTGAAACCCATCTAAAACAAAAGAAAACCCACCTTCCCTTTTCTGAGGTTGAGAATAGCGCCAAACCTTATCCCCAACCCCAGAAATGGAATTGGTCCTCAGCTTTCTACGTGAGACTCTTAGCAGGCCACTTAATCAGGTCTACCTTCGTCCTTTGCTCATGCTGGCCCCTCTACCTGGGAGGTCCTTCTCCACCTCCAGAAATTCTCCTCATCCTTCAAGCCCCAGCTCCACCAAAGTCTCCTCTCTGAAGCCCACCAGGATTCCCCCCGGGTGGACACACCACTTCCCCTGTGTACCTGGGACCACAGTTTTGTCACTTTACTCACAGAATTAGAGATTGTTCTCTGGGTTCCTCTTCCTTCACCTTCACCTTTTTCTATTTTAAAATTGTAAACAACTGAGGCCCAGAGAACATCCACTGCTCACCTAAGGATATACCACAAGTTGCTGGCCATACTTAGATTTGAGCCCCAATTTCCTGATTCCCAGTTTAGTATTCTTTCCTAGAACCTGTTCTTTCTTTATTGGTTCACATAAATCAAAAACAAACTAACAGGAAATATAATGCCTGAAGATCTCTCTAGTGATTTCTGTCTGAGCATCAGGTTGCTGGACAAAGACAGTGCTCTTCACCATTGTGGACAAAATAGCAGAACAGGCTTAGCAGTGCCATTGCCATTGGGTCGGGGAAGTACTTCGGCTAAAGTTTACGCCAGTTCCTTTGCTCTCCATGCTTCCTGCTTCCAGGCCCACTATGACTTAGCCATCAGTGTTGCTTTGCAATGGCTGAATCATTCAGAAGACTTAACTTGGCTGGAGTTGGAGAAAGGGTAAGTTGAAATACTTTTTTCTTTAATGCATGACTATGAGTAATGGAAAAGGAAGTTCCATCTCGTGTCTTCCGCCTTCAGCATCTGATTTGGAAACACTGCAGGGGAGTAACCCTCTCTCTCCAACAAGAAACCTGAAGAAATCCCACAGTCGTCACCCTGGAGAAGTCACACAGTGCATTTGTTACATCTCTGTTAATTGGTGTCTTTTAGATGAAAATCTTTCTTGCATAGAATGTTCTGCTTTAGAAACAGGACTGTGACTTCTTGTGTATGGGCCCTGGTTTTTCAGATGGTCAGTTCTGTGGGTAAAGGCTTCAAGCGTTTCATAAGGACCATCAAACACAACTTAAGCACTTAACCAGACACACTCAATTGGTGAGAATGTGAAAATAAGACCAGAACTGCATAGTTTATTTTAGAAACCAGTTATTTTTTCTGTTTTATGGCCTTAGAATGCACAACTGGTCTTGGATGGCTATATCAGAGTGAGTTATATGAGAGTGGCTATATCAGATGGCTATATGAGAGTATAGTTATAATAAGCAGAAAATCCAGTTTGAGCAGACTTAAGACTTAAGGAAAAAAAGAGGTGGAGAAGATTTATTGCTTCTGTGTTTAAAAAATCCATGAGTAGGTCTGCCTGAGGTAGGTCTTAACTCAAAACTCAAACATGTCATCAAGATCTGCCTCTTGACTTTTTCCTCTGGGTAGACACTATTCTTAGTTTCAGCCAAGGATATTGCAAAATTCATCCCAGAGGTGAGCGTTTTGTTTTTTTTTAAACCACAGAATTGTGTCGCAATAGCTCTATGTACCCTGACTTATCTGGAGGCACACACAGCAGGGGATAGAATAGCCTGACGAGCTTAGTGCACAGTGTGTTTTTCAGTCTTTGGAATCCAGGGGTTTTGTCAGCTTCCCACAAAGCACATAGGCTTACAGTGAAGCAAGGCAGTTTGCCCCAAGCAAATGGCCACAAGATGGGAAAGGATCTGGTTGGCAGATCCATGGTTGTCCAATGTAGTGACCAGTCAGCCAATATGCGACAGCTGGGTGAACGTGGATAGATGATGGCCAATTTACCACCACTGTTGGAAGTTTCAAAATTCCAAGTGTGTTCTTTACTGATGGTGGATTAATCGTATCAATTTTGTAAACAAGGGCACAGCTCATGGCCACTGGAGGTTACTGATGGATTATCATCACAGCCTTAGGTGTCAAAACAGTATGAACAAACCCTCCACTCTTATTCACTCATGTTTCCTCTTAGGAAAAGACCATTTCATGGCAGACCCATGTATCCAAACCACAGAGAAAGAGAAGCCATGATTTTATCATCTTATGCTGGAATCCTAATGGTAAGGAAAAGAACATTATTTGCACATATGGAAATGTTATATTTCCTATGCACATTTTGGTGTTAATGTACACTTATATTCTTTTTTAACCAATGCTTATAGATGTTGAATATTTATTAATATTAAATGTTTTATTTTTAAGATATAATAAAAGACATTGACTTCTACATTGTATTGTGAAAACATTTATTTAAGGAGAAAAAAACCCTAGAATGAAATGCATAAATAATTGGATTCTGGAACTTCTGGTTTATCAGTTTATCCAGAAGTGATGTGGTTAGTGCCCATGCCTTGCAAAGACACAGTGCTAGTCACCCTGGATCTGTAACACTTTCGTACTACAAGGAAAGTCAGGATGTGCTAATACATTTTGTTGTTCCTTTAATTGTCGTTAACAGAACAGCATCCCAGTTGAGGAAGTCTTTAAAATTTATGGGGCGGATTCTTCTGCCAATTCTGCTGCTATCAAGGTAGGGGAGACCTGAGACTGCTCATATAAAAGATTTGTAGAGAGAATTTCTTTATTTTGTATATGTATAATGTTATATGTTTAGGCATGAAATAACAGTTTTATATCAAAATGTACAACACCAGTGGTAGCTATATCTTACTTGGGTAATAAACATTTGTAAAATGCTTCCCTTATATAGAGTACTGTATTCATAGTAACAAACGTATTTGGTGTAAGACTGAGTAGAAGCAGAAAATACAGCACCAGGCTTAGAGTCTAGATGCTGCCTAGGTTTCTGATAAACAGAATTTCTTACTTACACTCTTTGTAATGTAGACCTGGTAAGTCCAAGTGCCCTTAACTTGTGTGCTAAGTGCCATAACATTTAGAACTAGGACAAGGTCTGCAAGGGTCATTCTGCTGATAAATTAGTTTATTGCTGCCAAATTTCTTCCTCCCGTCAGACTCCTTTGAAACCCTGCAGAGCAAGCAGGAGTGATCTGGGGGTTCAGACACCCGGGGCTGTGAGTCCCGGCTCTGCTACTGTGGAGCCCGGGCCCTTCCCCTCATTGGGCTTCTTTATACTGATCATGGAGCATTCCAGATGAACTTCACAACCAGTTCCGTTTTTGCTATTCATAAATGTATGAACATTTAATAAACACAAATATAGGCTGCTATTTAGAGGTAAACTACTGACCCCTTTGCCTTTAGATCCCTCTAGAAGAGGGAAGGGAAAGGGAGAATGAGATGGGCAGGGGTAGGCAGCAGGGAGAACCCACCCCTTGCACCCAGGCCTTCCGTTGCTTTCGATGCCCCCACTGGATTTGGAAGGGGAAGCCAGGGCAGGGGCAGGACTCTGGCTATGGGAACACCTGCCTCCCTTGTTGTTTTACCTGCAGACCGCACTGCAAATAGCGAGTTTGTATAAATTCAAGAGCCCGACAGGTCCAGCTTAGGAGTCAAGTATTTACTAAGTGGTGTAACTTTGAAACCAACTGTCCATCATCTGAATCCATGTGTAACCTGGCTGTCATCCTGAGACTCCAGTTCCCCTGGTTGCTCTGGTTTCAACTCTGCTCATTCATTCACTTGGTGTAGTTGTAGGTGCAGGGAATTTAATGATGAGGACGTCAGATATGGGGGCTAAAAATACTAATACTTTTCCTCCTACCTTCTAAATTCCTCTGGCTGAGCTCATCACCAAATTAACCGAGACAGATTAACAGGAGAAAGACAAAGCTTAACACATGTGCAGAGAGAATTCATATAGGCCTGGTCATTCCATGAAAATCCCAAAGACAGGCAACATTTGGTACACGAGACATTTCTGGACAAAGGAGAAAGGGGGAATTAGATTTCAGAAGTGAAAATGGGTGATTTACAGGCATTGAGCGGAGTAGAATGCACACGGCAGGGAAACCCTGGCTAGGCAACTCAGGAACAGGGGGACGCAGGGGGCGTTTAGCTAATAGGTATCTGCTTGAAGCCCTCGTGTGGACCACACTTAATTCTAATGAGGCTGAGGCTACATCCTAAGTTCTTCTTCCTGAAGCAGGTTTCTCTGTCTGAAATCTCTTGGGCAGGAAACAGGAGAGGGTCAAGTGTCCTTTCGGAGTCTTTTGTTTCTTAATAATCAATATTGAACAAGAAGCCCTGGGGCACCACAATGCTTAAAGGCGAGCCAGCCCACCTCTTCCTACCATCCGTTATTCATTGAAGAACCTTTACTCAGCACCTGCTCCATTCAGTTATACAGTCTCTGTCCTCACAACTGGTGACCAACAATAAAAAGCCCGATGTGTACATAGACTAAACGACGACCAACTCCGAAGGGAATCAGATGATACCCTCATAGGGGTGTTTCCTTCAAAGGGCTGCGTTTGTGCATGGATACAGGTGATGCATGTCGGCTCGCTTACCGATTTGCGTGTGACAGACGGTCTGTATAACCTTCTAGAGGTTAAGCACAAGGATTCCAAAGCTGGATTGCCAGTGTTTAAACTCTAGTTCCACTAGCTGCAAGCAGAAAAATCCTGGGCAAGTTTTCTCAGCCGTGATTTCACCTGTAAAAAGAGAGACAAGAGGATGAGATTGTTGTGGGAAATGAAGTGAATTTGCACCAGAAAAGCCCTTAGTGCTCGGGCACCTGGTAACTTCAAAATACTAGCTGTAGTTAGTTAAGGTTCTGGTATTTGACGGTTAGGTATCTGGTTTCCTGTAAGTTGCACTAAACCAGGGTTTCTCAGAGTTTTGAACCAGATCATTCTTTGCTGTGCATGTAGGGGGCAGAGTCAGGAGCTGGCCTGTGCCCTGTGGGATGCTTAGCAGCATCTCTGGGTAATGCTCTACCCATTAGATACCAGCATTTCCCCCTCCCCAACTCGTGACAACCAAAAATGTCTCCTGACTTTGCCAAATGTCCCCTCAGGAGCAGAGTCACCTGGTTGAGAACCTCTGTTCTACAAATTCAAAAATCAAATAGCTCATTAAGCACCCATGTGTATTATGAACATAATATAAACTTTGCCTATTTTAAGTAATGACATATCATGAAAGCTATGATATGATTTGTGCTACAGATATAAGATTCTGAGGATGGTCCACCCCCTGGGGGCCCCCCAGCCACCCCTGCTCAGGCCCTTCTCTCAAAGGCACATCGGCTCCATGAGGGACTTCCTGGACGGCTTAAATCAGGAGTGAGCAGAACCTCCCAATGCAAATATAGCATTTCAAATATTGTCAATTATAGGAATGTTTTGAAACAGTCCTTGGGGCTGAACAATTTCAAAAAATTTAACTAGGAGATGGGTTGTTAAAAAAATAGTTGTTGCCAAGAATTCTCTAATTGCTGCATATATTGGAATGACCTTTGACTCCTTCTGGTAAAATGTCTCCTAAGCAACACCTAAACCTCTTTCCAAGCTCCAGCAGAAAGCCCTTTGAATACTAATCAGATTATGTAGAATTTCCAAGCCCTAGAATTGGCCTCCAGTGCAGCTTGGGCCCTGTGTGTTGGTTTGGTAACTCTCTTCAGGAATATATTGCTGCCACCTGGTGACAGGAAAGCATCATGGGCCCAGCATTGTTCACCCACTTTATTAGCTTCAGGTTTTACCTCCTGATAGGAAGCTGTTTTTGCTGATGGGAGGCATTTTCTGCTGAGGACCTTGGACCCACAGAAAAGTCACCAAAGGGCCTTACATCAGTGAGAGTTGTACAGATAGTTTCAGATAAATATAAACTGTCCTACTCAAGTTTAAACTGGTGAAAAAAGAGCATAGGTCTCCCTCCAACACGGAAAGCAAGCAATACAGATGTTCTTCAGCCCCATTTGCTGGAGAAAGAGCCAAAAAGGAAAGGGAGTCCTTTCACATCCTCATCTTCTTTTCCTCCTCCTCCCCCTTCTGGTTGGGAGAAATTTTTGCTGAATGTGCTTTGGACATAATTTGGTGCTCAATATGTACTTGAATTGAGAAATAACAATCATATTTCTACTTTTACATTAACACGATGAAGAGATTAGTAAGTACCATTGAAGTGAAAAAGAGGATATGATTAACTCTAGGTTTAGGATTTAAATTTCATCTACTTTTAAAATAATTTTTGTTGTTCTATTGCAGTTGTCCCAATTTCCCCTGTGGCTCTCCCTGCCCCACCCCCACAGCTACATTAACTATTTCCTCAACTCATCACATTATCAGCACTCATAGAAAATTTGAGCTGGAAGTGACCTTTAAAATCATTGGGTTTTATCTTCCCCAGTAAATAGGGCAACTGAGTGTGGAGAACATCAGTCTTGTATCTTCTAAGGGTAGAAGTGCAACAGGAATGAGGTATGACTTGACTTATCAAGGGTAATCACTTCATAAGTTACATAAGTTTCTAACCACTGGGAAAAAAAGAATGACATATAAGCCAATTTGCTCCCTTTTTTTGGTACCTGGCATACATTATCCTGAAGGGCTAGTATTATAGCCATAATCACCCCATACTTATATAAAGCCTCCTTGCAATTACTTTCTCTGCTTTAGGGTCATCTTTCTGAATAGATCATGTGCTTCCTGAGGTTAAAGGCCATAGTGTATGCTTAGATTTAATTGCTTACAATCTTGGATCTGAAGCAAACTTTCAATAAATATTTTTGCCATTTAAATAAAAGCGCGAGGTCAAAAATAGAAGTGCCTCTGCTGGGTGGCTCGAAACCACCTTGTCCATAAAGAGAACGCATCCTCATTGATTGTTTAAGACAGGTTTTCTGCATTATACAGCACAACCAAAAACCCACATGAATAGTCAAAAGCAGAAATCGACTTCTCAGATGAAAGGGGCCCGGAGGTGGGTGGCCCAGGGCTGGGACCACAGTCTCACAAAATTGTCAGGGACGCAGGCTTCTTCCAGACCTCTGCTCAGTCATTCCTGTTGAAAAATTACAAAGTAATATGTAAATGGAGTCCCTTTCTTTAAAAAAATGACCTCCCCCACAAAACATCCCACCTATGCACAAACCGCGCGATGATCTGAGAGCTCAGGTCCCTGTGGAAACCTTCACCTAATTCAAAGGGATACCAGGCACGTGGGAACCTGATCATTCCGAGTGTGATCGTCAACAGTTCTGAATAATAAAGATAGAGTGGAAAATTACTGCTGACCTGAAAATTGAAAAAGAAATATTTGTTTTGTGGTCCATTGTTTTTTTTGGGGGGGAGAGGGGTTGGTGTTTGCTTCAGTTATACATCATGTAAGTGTGTCCTATTGATGAAATGGCATATTTGTTGAAATCAGTGCATAAAAAGAACTGCGTAATCAACTTTTGCTCCTTAGAAATAAGTGTTCTGTAAATATAGAAATAAGAGTTCTATACACACAAAATGGGACTCTCTGTCAGTGAAAAAGCAGAAAATCGATGAGCTTGCAGTGGGATGTTAATTATTTCAGGCCACCTGGCTCCAATTCATTATTTGTCAGCAATTAGTCAACCTTTTTCTAGCACGTGAGACAGGATCCCGTAAAGAAATTGGTGGCCAAGTTGTTGCCATTGGTAATTCTATATGAGAGAAAACTGAGTCAAGGAGATAAATGATGATGATAATGATAAATATAAATAATTTTTATTATAAACTTTAAAGCTACTATATTGTACTATGTACCAAACACTACTCTAAATACTTTAATGTCTATGGCCATACCACCCTGAACACACCTGATCTCATCTAAATACCTTACATATGCTAGTTCTTCAATCCCTACTACAATCTTATAAGGTAGGCATCAGCATTATTATTATCACATGAAAAAACAGGCACAGAGAAGTTAAATGACATGCTCAAGATCACACATCTTGTAGGTGGTGCAGCTTCCATTCTAATACGGCCAGTTTGACACAACAGTCCATGCTGTCAACTACTTTTGTCTTGATTAGCAGCATAGTTCAACTAGTTAATGACATTTGCATGTCTCCTATGTGCTAGGCACTCTCTGAAGCACTAGAGATTAAGGGTTAAATTTGTTTAACCAGCTTCCCTCCTTCCACATTCCAATCTGTTCTCCACATAGCTGCCACAATGATCTTTCTAAAAACCTGAATCGGACCTTGTAACACTACCCTCCAAAACACTTCACTGGCTTCCATTGCACCCTGGAATCAATTTCGGTGAACAGTTTCATGCCATGACCAACAAGGACCCATGTGATCTGGGTCCTGCCTCCCTCTCAGCCTCATCTACAAATTTCTCTTTCTCACTATGCTCTAGCCACACGCTGGCTTCCTCTCTGTGCCTAGAAAGCAAAATCTTACTTATTTCAGGAAGACCTTCTCATTCCCTCTGCCAGGAACGCTTCTATCCAGCTCTCCCGTGGCTGACTGCTGCTCATCCTGCGAGTCTCAGCTGAGACACTGCTTCTTCCTTCTAGAGGCTTTCTCTGTCCTTTCTGTCCAAAGAGGTGACTATGCAGTCACTTCCTAGCAATTCATTTTGTTCAGTTTATTTATTAAACGTACTATTATGTACGTCCTCTGGGTTGGCTAATAGTTTATTGTTTGTCTCTCCCCGCTCAGCTCTGAAAAGGCAGGAACCTTGTCTATCTTACTAACAACACTCCTAAACAGAGCCTGGCCCACAGTAGGTGCTCACAGAACACATGTTGATTGAATGAAAGAATAAATGAATGAATGAATGAACAGTTCTAGCCTTGAAGAAGTTTCCAGTGTAGTGCAACAGTCAGCAGATTATAACTATAACACACTGAGTTTGTTCTATGTGATAATATGCTTTGAATTCACAGATGAGTGAGTTGATAAGTCTGCTGTGGGCTGGGGCAGGGCAGGAGGCCAGGCTGGGAGAGTGAAAATGTGGAGACTCAGGCAACTTGCTCAGAAAAGGTGATATTTGAGCTACATTTTAAAAAGAAAAGTAGGATCCTTTAGGAAAACTAAGAGCCTCTGAGCAGAAAAGAATTCTAGGTACAGGGAACTATTCGAAGAGCATCAGCGTGTGAGAAGGTGTTACAGGCCAAAGGAACCAGGCAGAGGGAATAGAAGACAGTGTGTGAACGTGTGTGACAATAAACAGTAGCCTCACCAGGGGACTGCCAGTAATGTCTAAGGACCATGGGTTGGGTAAACAGGCCAAGTGCCCTAGGTAGCGGGTTTGAACAGCATTATGTGCGTGCAGCTTTTCAGAGGAGAACTGTTTCCCTTTCAGGTTCCCCGAGTTCTACCTTTCCGCCTCTCCTTGCACCCTTTTGCCATGTTAACAGCGCCCAAAGCAGCAGAATATGCCCGCAAACAGAGTAAGCCTGTTTACTTGCATCTGCTTAGGGACATTTCAAACAGGAGGGGAACTCACAAAGTAAGGCCAGAGTTGTTACGGTAATAACATCTTTCTGGATGAATTAAATAGAATCAGCAGCATTTATGGCTTGATCTCCCTCTATTACTGAAATCAAGGAAGTCTTATTTCTTAGACCCTTTGGTAATGGGAGCAAAGCACTCATGAAGGGGAAAATCTAAAACTGTGGGTGGACTCATTTTTTCTAAAAAGATTTTTTTGTACAGTTATGGTTCCTACATGTGTCTCTAGGTGTCAAGTGCAGAAGGGGAGCCATGAATAAAAATGCCGCTAACAGCTCTACAAGGGAAGCAAATGCCACGGAGCAGAAATGATCAATAAATTTATCTTTGGACACACAGCCTAAGAACAAAGTAGGTCTAAGAACACAAATTGGATCAAAATGATAGCAGATCTTTGGGGAGTACTTTACTTACAATGTTTTAAAAGTTTAGCCTCTAGAATTAGATGCTGTGGGTTTGAAACTAAAGCCTACTGTGTGACTTCAGGCAAGTGACTTAACATTTCCATTTCTTAGTTTTCTCTTCCGCAAAATGGGAAGAATAATGGAACCTCACTCTTAAGATTGTTGGGATGATTACCTGAGATTATGTATGTTAAGAGGTCAAAATAGTGCTTGTGCAGAGTAAATCTTAAAATATTAACCATATTATCTTGTAGCATTTGAGAGATGCTATTCACAAGTTAATCAGCTGTTATTCTGTGGTTTCAAATAAGTGTATACATGCTTATTGTAAAAATTTCAAACAAGAATTGTAAGTGAAAAGTAAAAGAACCCCTCTTCCCCACACCCTTTCCTACTTCTTAGAAATAACTACTTTTCTTGTGATAGTCCAATGTTTCTTGTGAAATTCAAATATTGCTATATGTGTACAAGTATGTCATGTGATATTTTTGTGATATTGAAGTACTACTATACATGTATGTCTTACTACTGATTTGTAAGAGAAAATAAATAAAAAATACTACCAAAAAATAAAGAAACAAATATTTTTATTTAAAAAAATAATTATTTTATAAATGCATGAAAATATACTTTCACAGTTTATTGTTTGAAGTTTTCATTTTATTTATTTGAGCTTCTGAGTCTTTTGCTAGTTTATAGCTTATGGATATTATATCATGTTATATTATTAGCCAATAAACAACTTTTTAACCTTAGGATGAAATAATGATTTATTCAAAATTATCTTCACTGGCTGTTGTAGCTCAGTGGATTGAGCGCAGACCTGCAAACCAAAGGGTCTTCTGTTCGATTCCCAGTCAGGGGCACATGCCTGGGTTGCAGGTGAGGTCCCCAGCAGGGGATGTGCAAGAGGCAACCACACATCGATGTTTCTCTTCCTCTCTCCTTCCCTTCCCTTCCCCTCTAAAAATAAATAAATAAAATCTTTTAAAAATGATACAGAATTTTCTATATATTTCCCACCACTAAATTTCTTCATAAAGTAAGAAAAAAAGAAAAATTATTTTTAATAATTGAGGTATTCTGGCAGTTTTAAATATTTATTTTATGCTGTATTGGTATTAGTCGCTTGTTTATTAATCAAAATGGGTATGAACAATACCACATCCTAGGAAAATGTCAATATTGGGCAGAGTACTAGAAAATGAATTTGGAATGGACAGGATTGTTCCAAAGAGCTAGACAACAAACAGCACACTATAGTGATTAAGAGTGTGAATTCTGGAGTCAGAGAGCTAGATTTAAAAACTGGTTCCTTCATTTAATAGCTTGGTTGAATTATTGAGAGTTCATCTATAAAAAGGGTGATAGCAGTACCTACCTTATAGCATTGTTACGAGGACTAAGTGAGTCAGTATGTGCATATGTGGATGGGCTTAGAAAAGGTCCAGGACTACAGCAAGCAATGACATGAGTGCTCCCACTACCACGGGGAGCACAATGCCGTGGAGAGAGGAAGTCACGGCAAGAGGGCAGTTTGGGGGGTCTGGTCTCCATTTCCACACAGAAGGAGCTTGGGCATCAGTATTCCACCGTAACAAGTAAAGAGCTGAACAGACTGAATATTCAACAGCTCTCCTCGGAAATGTAAAGAAGGAGAGGGCATGGGGAGACCAGCTACCCCCAAGAATAAGATGGGTGGATGGATGGGTACAGGGGTAGAGAGATGTGCTGATGCAAACACGGCAGACAGCATCAACAGGTGATGGGCACACGTATCCCATTGTACAATTCTCTCAACTGTTCTGTATGAAACATTTCATCATGAAGAAAAAAAAAAAAGACAGAAATTGTCAGGGCAGACCTAAAAACAACACCCAGTTCTGTGTTGTCTATAAGAAACCCACTTGAAATAAAACAACACACATAGATGAAAAGGAATTGGATAGAGAAAAATATGACATGTAAACCCTAATCAAAAGAAAGCAAAAGTAGCTCTATTAATTTCAGACAGAGTTGACTTCAGAGCAAGGACAGCTATCAGGAATAAAGAAGGGAACTGCATGATGATAGAGGTTTATTCTTCAAGAAGACGACAATCCTTAACATGCATATGCTGAACAACAGGACATCAAACTACGTGAGGTAAAAACTCAGTGAACCGTGAGGGGAAACAGATGACTTTACTATCCTATTTGGAGAGTTCACACTCCTCTATCAGCAATGAAAGGACAGCAATTTAAGTTTACATTCAAAGACATATAGAAGAAATTCAAAATAATATTCTGCAAGAATAATACACAACCACTGATGGGCAAAGAAATTATTTGCTTTGGGTATAGTCAAATCAAGTATAACTTTTATTATTTCCTTTTCTTTGAGAATAATTTTGAGCCTAGAGAAAAGTTGCAAGAACACTTCAAAGAACCATGTATATTTTACTCAGATTCACCAATTGTTAATATTTTGTGCCATTAGTTATATCATTTTTTGTCTCTGCCTCTATCTCTCCCTCTGCCCTTATCTCTTTCTGTCTGTATATAGATAGATATTAAATTTTTCTGATTCATTTGAAGTTACATCACCATATTCTTTTATCCCCAAATACTTCAGTGTGTGTACTTCCAAAAAACAAAGTCAATTTCCTACATAACCCCAGTATAGTTATCAACTTCAGAAAATCCAACATGAATACTTGGATCTAATCTACCATCTGTACACAAATTTTGCCAGTTGACCCAATAATGTTTTCTTTAAACATTCTTTCCTTCTGCACAGGCTTCACTGTGAGATCATGCATCATATTTAGCTGAAAAAATATAACTCCATTTCCAGATGGCTCAGAACAGTTCCATGGAAATTCTTTTGTATCTACATTCATCTTAACCCATCTTGGTGAATAGCTTAGTATCTGACATTCAACTTTAACTCCTGCAGATTGAAAGCTAATGTCTGTGTCCAGGTTGAATTGATGTGCTCGATACCAAAATCATCTTTTTATTTTGGGGGCCAGTTAGAAGCTCATCATGGTACTTCATAATAAAGTCTCTGGGAGATGAAAAGAAACGCTGTGTTAAAACTGCAGCACTGCCAGCATATTCTTCCTTCCAGTTAGCTGTGACACAAACTGCACTGAAGTGTTATTTGTGGATGTTGGGTTTTCTTCTCTTAGGATCACATTCCAGGGCTATACTTGGGCTTTAAAAATGTGCACATCTTAAGCTACTCCATTGTGAGTGGAAGACTGTTGGTTGGAGAATGCCAAGAACATGTGGTATTTGTACAGCAGAGCAGGCTCACTTTGTAGCATATTTTACAAATGTTTAGCACTGAATACTGCAGAGAGGTGGAGCAGGAGGCAGTTTCCCAAAGTTTCAACCCAAAATAAAATCAATCTATCATTGATTGCTTTCACAATGTTTCCATATGGAAACATTTAAAATCATTTCAATAATGCATTATGAGAAGAATGGGTATAGGTTTTCTCTTAATAGAATATTGTTACTAGGAAGAAAAGACTCTATTCTTCCAGTACCTTTCCCCAGTGCTGATTAGGCAGATGGCTTAGCTGGTACCTGTGTGCAGTAACAATTTATGAATGTGAACACAGATTACACTTTTCTTAAGGTTTTTGATGTGCTATCTTTGCAGAACAGTTTTGGCCCTTTTTTTTAAGTGCGCAAAAAATATGTGGTTTGTTGGCTTCTGCGGAAAATGGTGCTGTGTTTTGATGTGAGTTTGTGTTTGGAGGAACCAATGCAGCCTTTTTCATACTAAACCTGTAACTGAGGTGCACCAGCAGTCCATTAGGCAGGAACAGAGAAGCACTTCTGTGACGTGTGCTTTCTGGGTATGCTGCCAGGCGTCTAGCTTCACAGAACTTTGTCAAGTTTTCTTTTTGTCTAGTTCTGCTACTTGTGAGGGTACATTTTTATTTTGCGGCTATTGTTGTCTCTCCCTTTAACATCCTCATGTTTGCTTTACACGCTGCCTGAGGACTTTCACGAGCAGCATTGCGGACATATCGCTATAGTTGCATTTGGCTGCCTTCTTAGAGCCTGTTCATGGCCGTGAAGCACAGAGACATTGGATGTCAGTTTCCACCTGCACCTGGGATGAGAAAAGACGAGCTCAGGGAGGAGTCATCCTTGCCCCGTGCATCTCTGAGGGTGCGTCTACATCAACAGGTTGGCAGCAATAGAGAATCACCTCGGTTCTAGGAAACAGTGACGCTTCAGGGAGGGAAAACTCGGGCAACTCATGATGCTAATTTCAGGACATCTCTTTATTTCAGCCTTGGGAGAAGTGTTTAATCCCTAGAAAAAAATATGCCTATTTTCAAATGTTTCTGCTTTTTACTAGCAACTCAAAGTTACATATTTAAAATTTTATTCTACTTTTTTGAACTCATGAAAGTAATATACATTTATAATAGAAGATTAGGGCAACAGAAAACAACAAAAAGGAGAAATAAAAACAAAACTAGAGCCTGTGCTCTTGTCATTCATTCATAACCATGACTGAGCGTTTGCAGTAACATACACAGTTCTAATATTTTTTTTCCTATAGAAACAGACACAAGATATGTTTTATCAAAATCCTATTATACTGATGAGATCATTTAATACATGTTTTTCAACTAGAGAACTTGTTGTTGCCCTTTGCACGTCAAGTCCTTCTGGAATTCATGAGATTGTCACGAGCCCCCCACCCCCACCCCGCCCATGGAACCACCAACCCCATCTCAGCAGTTTCCATAGGCAAACGTTACAAAATGCTGGGTGTGTGATGTATTGCTAGAGAGCTGCATAGGCCCAGAAGTGCGTCCTTTGTCTCCAAGGTCATAATAGCTCTGCTGACTTCCATTCCTTTCACTGGAGCTAGTGAGGACAAGTCAAAAATGCCAGACAGAATGACAGCCCCCTGACCCATGACACCAAACGGAAAAAAAGAGAGAGAGAGAGAGAACATAGAAATCCCCTCACACACTACCCCCAAGCCCCTTTGTGTTGTTCTTGCCAACACAGCAGCCGTCCTGCTATATATACCAACTGCCACTCCTGTCCCCCATCACTCTGGGTGCTGATCAGTTGTCATCAACGACCATGGGAAAGGTGAGTCAACCCAAGTGCCATACCGTGTCTATTGAGTGTCTTCTGGTCGGATGATGTACCTGCCAGCTGACTGCCTGCCGTCACCTTGTTTTCCACTACAGATCACCTTCTACGAGGACCGGGGCTTCCAGGGCCGCCGCTACGAGTGCAGCAGCGACTGCTCCAACCTGCAGCCCTACTTCAGCCGCTGCAACTCCATCCGCGTGGACAGCGGCTGCTGGATGCTCTATGAGCGCCCCAACTACCAGGGCTGCCAGTACTTCCTGCGGCGTGGCGACTACCCCGACTACCACCAGTGGATGGGCCTCAGCGACTCCGTGCGCTCCTGCCGCGTAATTCCTTACGTGAGTCTTGCTTCAACCAACTGATGTGAAAGCATCATTGATCCGTGGCCATAAATCCCTGTTTATAACAGTTAGTGTGTTCCAACGCAGGACT